TACTGAAAAATTCAAAAATCTTACAATTCATGAAGATTGATTGAAAAACAAATATATAATTTGAATTCTATGTAAACATTTCTTGGTATAAATATGAATTTATCATTTTGTTCAATTCTTAGTTTACATTTAACAAAATAAATATTTTTTGCTATAAATATGAAAAATTCTATATTTTTAAAATTTTATGTATACAATAATACGGATCAAATCGAAACAAACCGCGACCGGCGCGATCCGTGACCCGCGACCCGCATGGGCTCGGCCCTGATGGGTCCGTGTACGGGTCTGGGTTGTAGTCCAAAATTTGTGGGCCGACTCAGAACCGGTCCGGAACCCATAGCTGACGGGTTTTTTTTCACGCGAATCGTTACCGGACTCGTATGTTGGCCGACTCGGACCACCCAGATTGATATCTCTACCAATAAACACGATGGCACATTTGTCAAGACTAATGATGCGCTATGTGTTAGCCAATTTCTCACACCAGTTCATCTAAAATTGAAATGGTGGTCAGTGAAATCTCAACACACTTTAAAACTAGGTTACTGAATTTTCATCATGCTTGCAACTGGGTCTCTGAACTTTTTTTGGTGCAATCCCCACTACTGTACTTTAATTTACAAGAAATCAAGTCAGTCTGTTTGGTGGAGAAAATAGGGAAATTGTACTATTTCTTCCATATACACAATTAGAGAAGAATTTTCGATTAATTGTACTTTTCGCGTCATTGTGGAGAAAGATTAATCCTTAAAACATTGTAGACAAAAATAATTTAGGTCTCATATTTTTTGGATACAAGAAACTCGAGGTATTTGATATTCTTATTCAAAAATCTTTCAATTTTTTTTGCTCTTCGCTAAATTACTGTATAATGTTTGATTTATTGTAGAATATTGATATCATGGAAAAAGAATTAATAAATTAGAAAAAGGAAAATAAAAACTGTAAAGATGCATTGTCATGTATTTATACGTTCTTCGTAATGTTGGGTGTTTCTTAATCAAATCAATTCAAACACTAAATCAACTAACCATAGCAGGCTCATCGACAAAACTCAAATGAAATGACCTGATTGCTTGTAAATTAAATTATAGTTGCTAGATTGCACTGAATTGAAGTTTAGTGACCTAGATACAAGTATGCTAGTGTTCAATGATCCCCAACGCTATTTTAGATAAGTTGGCAGGGGAAATGGATTGACAGGTAGACATATTGCTAGTTTCGACGGGCATATAAGCAAGTTCATTGACGAAACCTAGACGGAGTGACCTGATTGCTCATAAATTAAAATAGAATTATTCTCCCAGGGTTAAAAACATAATTGAAAAAAAAAGGATGATGTGACAAGTGTTAATTGAGTGTTTTTTTTTTTTTTCAAACTGCTCAATCGTGCTCCGACACGTAGCGCACCTATTTTTGAATCTGTTTTTCACCCTATCCCTGTAGCATGTTTGATTGAAATATAAGAATTTTGCTAGGGGTACATAAATTTTCACATAATGATTCACAAAATTACATGTGACACATATCTAACCTTAATTCAAATATCACACTTGTTAAAAGATAGAATCCTACATCGAATAAAGATGTAAATATAAACCAACTTATAAAAGATTGTATTACTTCTCTTAATAAGGTTGACCTTTTAAGATGGAATCTCAATTCTTAACATGGTATTAGAGCCCATTAAATTCTAACGAGCAATTCGATCTGATTAAGATTCCAAAAGTAAATATACGAATTTTAAGATTGGTCTGCTCAAACGAGCCACCATCTTACAGGGGCATGTTAAGGGATAGAATCCCACATCGAATAAAGATGTAAACATAAACCAATTTATAAAGGATTGTATTACTTCTCTTAATAAGGTTGACCTTTTAAAATGAAGCATCAGTTCTTAACAACACTTTCACATCAATTATTTGATAGTTGACAATTCACATTATGTACCTCTCTACGTGAATAAATTATGTACAATAAGCATTATCCAAAATATAATGACATGATTGCTTCAAATTGAAGTTAAGTGACCTAGCAGAAATTATTGTAATATTTCAGTGACCTCCAGTTAAGTTTACCCCTTTACAGAATGTACTTTGTATTTTTATTTTTATTTTTTGAAGAAAAAGGTTATTTTTAAGTCGCAGCCACGTTTGGTTGCACAGTTCATAGTGTCAGAGTCACGTCTCACCATATTGTTGGAAGTTTTCATGGGGAAATTTTTTCTGGAATTTTAAGATTCCAGCCTGTAATTGCGGTGAGGTGAGACTTTCTTCATATTTCAGCATAGGAGCTTTCTTTATTGCTTATTTGCCCATTTACATATTCAAACTGTACTGGTTCAGCATTGAAAGTTTTGGCCTTTTGGGTTTTACAGCAATTGTGAATCTTGATTTTGCTAATATCAATACGTTTTTTGAGTGTGCTCAATTTGGAATTTTCTCAACCACTTTTATTGCTAAGAAATCTTGAATGTGGTTTGGTTCTTGTTAAGTTGGCTTTCATTTAGTTAAACTGGAAGTTGAAGTCTTTTTGCTATTTCTTGATGCCTGAATTTGAGTTTTCAGAAAGGTTTGGTCTCTGGATGATTGGCTCTTTGAATAGGATTTTTTATTAATTTCTGTGAATAGGGATTGCGAATTGTAGGAATTTTAGTGTTTGAAATTTTGCTATAGGAATATTTTGGGGCTGAAATACAGAATTTCTTGTAAGGGAATTGTTAGGACTTAGGAAGATGGCTTCTATACCATCTCCAAATTCTTCTCCCACTGCAGTTCCACTGGCTCCTCCATCTCGCCCGTCCAATTCCTCAGCTCCTCCTCCACCAATTCCACCTGTCCCACGTCAATCACCCTCACCAGATGCATCACCACCACCACCGCCTACTTCATTGCCCCCATTGCCTCCACCATCTCCCCCAGCTTCACCACCACCAACTCTTCCTGCTACCCCTTCTCCAGCAGCCAATTCGTCACCACCTCCAATTTTGTCCCCTCCCCCACCATCTGAAGCTTCAGCTCCTCCTCCACCAATTCCACCTGCCCCACCTCAATCATCCTCACCAGATGCATCACCACCACCACCACCACCGCCTACTAAATCGCCCCCATTGCCTCCACCATCTCCCTCAGCTTCACCACCACCAACTCCTCCTGCTACCCTTCCTCCAGCAGCCAATTCGTCACCACCTCCAGTTTTGTCCCCTCCCAAAGCATCACCACCTCCTCCTCCTGCTATTCGACCCTCTCCTCCCCCACCATCAGAAGCTTCCCCTCCCAAAGCATCAACACCTCCTACTCCTGCTATTCCATCCTCTCCTCCCCCACCAGAAAAGGTTCCACCACCGCCTACAGCTAATCCACCAGCCCAATCAGTTCCAACAAAAAGTTCTCCTCCGCCTCCTGCATTATCACCTCCTCCTGCTAGTTCCCCACCTTCAACTACTGCTCCTCCACGAGCTTCCATTTCATCTCCTCCTCCTGTCCCAACATCTTTTTTGCCACCTTCTATATCTCCTCCTGCTCCTCCGAGGAATGGATCTGCAAATGGAAGTGTCCCATCTTCACCATTCCCTTCCTCCCCTACAGCAAAACCCACTACAAGATCAATTAAACCTAATCCTAATGTAACTGCAGATGTACAATCAAATATTCCAAGGGGTTCTAAAGGAGTAGCAGCTGTTGGCATTGTTGTGGGGTTTTTGGCACTCAGTCTTGTAGTGCTGGCAGTATGGTTTACACATAAACGGAAAAAAAAGAAGGGTGCGTCTAATCTGGGAGCCATACCCTCTCCTTTTGCATCCTCGCAAAATTCAGGTACTGTTTGACTACATTCCACTTCTCCTTATATAGAGTGTGTTTGATGCACATTAAAATGGAAAGAATGCATTTTTTTGTAATGTGATGGTGAATATGTGGTTGAAAAAGAAGGAAAAATTATTGATGTGATGGAAAATATTATTTTATTGAAGAATGTGTGGTTGAAAATGAGTAGAAGAATGAGAATGTGGTTCAAGCAGGGGCATAATATTTGTCTACTGTCTTGGATGAAGTATTCATTAGTGTATTTAGACGATGTTGATTAACCCTCCAAATAGCTTTCTTATTTAGCCAGTTGATTATATCACAGCATTTTCCAGTATGGGTCATGTCAGCAATATACAGCGTCGCGTGCTATTAACTTGCTGTAAGAAAATATTATTATAGCTTATGCACGGACAAATACAATCCTTGAAAGAAATTGATGACCTTAGACGTTTTATTCAAAAGAATTTGTTCGCACAATACATTTTGCAGGATATTATATTATGAAAAGATACTTTTTCAGTTCATCTTATTAACCAAAACTTAGCTTCAATCCCCTTAGCTTATTTAACTCATCATTGTTAAATTGCTCTTCATTTGGTTTTGAAAAGGTAAATCCATCTTGCCAAGATGATGAACCCTAACTTTACAGTTAGTTAGAGTGCATTCTTCATCCTTTTGGAATTATGCAAAGGCTTAACCGTGGCAGAACACAATTATCGCCTTTCTTTTCTTTAATTTTGCATTTTTAGTTGTCGAACATATCTTAATAATATGAACAAACTTCTGTCTATCTTATAAACAGTTAGTGAAGGTCGATAAATAAAACTTTTTTGTCGGCAATGATAAACCATATATCTTTATATTATTTCTAGATTTGTCATTCCTAAGGACACAGCATTCATCTCAATTAGCTGGAAGTGCTTCTGCAAGCAATTTCATGTACTCACCAGAGCATGGTGGCATAGGCACTTCAAGGTCATGGTTCACGTATGAAGAACTATCTCAGGCAACAAATGGGTTTTCCACAATTCTGGGCTCAGGTGGCTTTGGTTGTGTTTATAAAGGAGTTCTAACAGATGGACGAGAAATTGCTGTTAAACAGCTGAAGGCTGGTGGTGGACAAGGGGAACGTGAATTTAGAGCAGAAGTTGAGATCATCAGCCGGATTCATCATCGGCATTTGGTTTCACTTGTGGGTTACTGCATCTCCGAGCATCAAATGTTGCTTGTCTATGATTATGTGCCAAACAACACCCTTGATTACCATCTTCATGGTAAGAAATAAGTGAATAAATAAGAATTCTAACTTTTGTGAGTTGAGCCTTTAGGCCCACTTTGTTGCAATCCTGCTAAAATTGCAAATTAAATTTGGGGTAGAGTACACCCCTTCACTGCGCAAGGATGACACGTGCAGATCAAGAACTAGTCCAAATGTTAGGCTTAGTTTGTTGTTCTTTAGACACCCCTTCCCCCAGAAGAATTGTTTTCTGAGCGCTCAACAATAGTGATAACTACCCCTTTATTGTCTTAGGTCCTTTTCTTGAAGACATATTCAAAAGATGTAGCGTTCTTTACATTGAACTAAAGTTTTAATTAGAATTAATGTGATACCGGCTGGACTAAGTACATGAATTATCCGACACGTGCAGGTGAAGGAAGGCCAGCGATGGATTGGGCAACGAGAGTTAAAGTTGCAGCTGGTGCAGCTCGTGGGATAGCTTATCTTCATGAAGACTGTAATTTTATTCTCTACTTTTGGAGTTTCCGTTTTTGTCTCAAAATATATAACTTATATTATCTGCAATATCTCTATATGTAGGGGACCTCGTTAGTTGTCCTAAACAGGGTGACAACATTATGACACTGTTATTTTCATAATTCTCTGTCCCGCAAAAACCGGATTTATATTTTTAAATTGTTGTAGAAGTACCAAACAATTATGAGTGCCAACTTACTAATTAATTTAGGTTGTAGAAATTCTAATATTGGTGACAACATTAACAACGAAAAATGTTAGCAATGTACTTTTTGACTGATCCAGAAAAGAAGAATTTATTGTGAGGGCAAAATATCTCGTTACTCTTGTCACATTTTTTCCTCGACCTTCGTTTTTTTTTTTGTTCAAGATTCTGGTAAAAACCTTGGTTTTTTGTTTATCAGGTCACCCCCGTATTATCCACAGGGATATTAAGTCATCAAACATTCTGTTGGATAACAACTTCGAAGCACGGGTATGCCGATTCCTGCATCTTAATTTAAAGAAAATTGTACTCTTTCTAAACATCAACTTTAAGCAACTCAAAATCCCCTTGGATATCAGGGGGTGCCTTGTATATTTAAGCGTAAGTAATTTATTAATTTCCCATTAGTTACATTTTAACTATGTTGCTTCGTCAACAGGTTGCAGATTTCGGGCTTGCAAAGATAGCACAGGAATTGGATTTACATACTCATGTGTCGACTCGTGTAATGGGAACTTTTGGGTGGGTAACTCTTGTGCTTATTTTTTAGTACAGTTGGAGAAATTTAACTACAGGTTTTTGGGCATTCTGTCTGGAGTTACTTATTTGGAAGTAACTCCTATCTTATCGTCAAGATAAATAATTATTTTTACTTAAAGTGAAAAGTAACTGCCAAACATTTTTGTAAACAAAATTACATAAGTGTAACATAAAGTTACTTTTAAGCTTAGCCAGACAGACTCTCACTTTTGACCATTAACTAATTATATTATGCAGAACGCATGATGTTGATGATAAACAATTAGGAACTTCTATTGTGTATTCATTTGCTATTTTCTTATTCATATCTATCTGGATTATTTACAGATACATGGCTCCAGAGTACGCATCAACTGGTAAACTGACTGAAAAGTCTGATATTTTTTCCTTTGGAGTTGTGCTTTTGGAGCTCATTACTGGTCGTAAGCCTGTTGACACATCTCAACCATTAGGGGATGAGAGCCTGGTGGAATGGGTAAGTTCCTCAAACAGGATGAACCTTGAATTTCTTTGAACCTCAAGTTATAAAGATTACCATCGAGTTCCACCACTGGTAGACTTCGAGACCTACATCTTGCTTTCTTGATCATTGACCTCCAATGTTCTGAGTAGTATAAAATCCCAAAAGTGAAATCCTCAATTGAGCATGATGTATTTGCATAAGTAATCTTAAAGCATAATCCATCTATGAGTTGATAAATTCCATCCGTACTTTCTTAGCCCCTATTTGTCTCCCTTTAAAATATAAAACACTTTAATTCTCCTACTCATTTTCAACCACACATTTACACAATAAAATATTTTGCACTTAAACCCAAAACTTTTCCCTACTTTTTAACCACACATTCACCAAAAAAATCACTATTCAAAACATCATTTTTTCAAAATAATGGCTATCAAACAGGGGCTTAATGAGGTTGTAGAAGTAGGGCTACTTTCTAAGGTTCTATATGCTCCTCCCAAGTTCAGCGTGGGGCTGCATATATTGTCTTTTCAAAATGTCTGAAAATATTCTTATGTAGCCTCTAAAAATTGTCACAAATTAAATTGGAAAATTGGACTTAACAAGTCATTTTCTGCTGCCATTGCATGTTGCACGTTGACCTTAAAGAGATCATCGTTATATTTTTTAAAAATCTTATTCATTAACTTCTTTAATTTGATTTTGGTTGCCTAAAAAACTAACGGCTCCATCAGTATGCCTTTTTAATAGTGGTTGCCTGCCTGTTAGCATTTGTTTCAATATTGTTGCTCCACTGATGACATGCTCAATATAATGTGTCATTTATCAACTTCTTTGCCTCTATTCAACTCATCCACTACAGCGGTGCCATGACTAGAGAGGTGATCAGGGGACCAAACTTTTAACAGTCGGGTTGAAACTTCTGTGAGTAAAGAAACTTTGTGATATGGTAGCTTAAGAGAGACTAGAAGACTGAATTTAGTGATGCCAATGTTTGTTCCATTTTTTTTCAAAAAAAACAAACAACTACATGGGTGGAATATATATTATTACTGAAAAAAAGATAAAAATATAGGAATGGACATACAACCAGACCTTGGGCCTGTGAAAGTACAAAGCATAGCCAGTCCATAGGACTGGTAATTAAATATAAAATGGCCGACATTATATCTTGTGCCCTCGTCATGCTAAGCGATTATCATACATCGATTTATGTATTTTGTTTGCTCCTCATAACCATCGTTGTTGTCTTGCATTGGATTTGGAATATGCCCATGCAAGTTGTGAATATAAAATGAATCCCCCTTCATAGCATTAGTCCCTAGTAGTAGGGATACAGCCACCTGCCCTACCTGGAAATGGCCCTTGGCCATATTCGAGGGAGGATCAAGATCTTCTCTATTGATGCGAAATCGTAGAACCCCATAGCATATGGAAATTGACGTTGCAATGTGTAACGTAGTAGAAAGGTAAACACTGAAATTATGATAATGACAAGACATTATAAATTTAATGCATATAAGTGTAGTTGATAAGCTATTTTCACATATGTGACCATAAATCTCTGCATGCAACATTTGGGTGAATCAGTTGGGAGATTATCATTTCCATCCAACTACATGGAAAAGAAAAATGAAATACTGAGAATTTCTCATGCCCCTCCCCCAAATCGAAACAATAACTTGTTGTACATCCATAGACTTTTGAGTTTTTTAAGAAATAACTGGAAGAACATGATATAACAAAGTTGGTTTTGGTTCATGTGGAGACTGAGTGAGTTGTGATATATTTGTGTTGAAAGCATAAGTGGTAGAATTATAACTGGAATTGATTTTTATTTTTTTTTCAAATAATTATCATTGCAATTAGAGTCATATTTCTTTTATATTCCTGGGGAACAGTCAATTGATCACCAACTTATCCTGCAGGCTCGACCATTGCTCACCCAAGCACTTGACACAGAATATTTTGAAGAGATAGTAGATCCTAGGCTGGAAAAGAACTTCGTTGCAAGTGAAATGTTCCGCATGATTGAAGCAGCAGCTGCTTGTGTGCGTCATTTAGCTTCAAAAAGGCCAAGGATGAGTCAGGTAGTTTTTAATCAACATCGTATTGCATTTTATTTCAATTTAGGCACTCTGTGTACATCTTTTGAAAGTGACGGAACTGTTGACTATTATGATAGAAATGAGGTGGCTTGAGAAGTGTATTAATGCATTGTTTTGTCATCAAGATTAGTGTAAACGCTTGTTGTTCCTAAAAACCAATGCATTTATGAAGGACAATTTTTACAAAAAAAAAAAGGATTTTTGGCAGATTGGACAACAAAACCACTACATTAATAGTCTTTTTAGATTACATCGTCATATCCATCGAAAAAGTCAGTAATTTCGTTAGTTTCAAAAGATGGAGGTGGACGGATGGAAGTTCAGTTTTGGAACAAAACAATGTTCAATGATTAAGACAAACAGTGTTTTTAATCCTTCAAATGTCTCTAGACTTTAAATTCATCGCAAACTGTTTTAAACTGCTCATTATGATAATTTTTCCTTCCATTCTTTCTTAATCACCAGGTTGTGAGAGCGTTAGAAACTATGGAGGAATTAACAGATTTGAACAATGGAATGGTACCCGGCCAAAGTGGAATTTTTACTTCAAGGGAACAATCTGCACAGATCAGAATGTTTCGAAGGATGGCATTTGGAAGTCAAGAATATAGTTCAGATTTCTTCAATAATTCCCAAAGCAGCTGGAGAAGTTAATGGAGCCACTTACACAAGCTCTGGGAGGTTCTTGTAATTAAGTTTCAGTGAGAGAGAGGCTAAAGGATGATACTTGATCGTGCTTAAAAGCTGCTTTTATTGAAAGTATGCAGTTCCCTCCATTACAAATTATTTTTTAATTAATTTCCATTTGCATTTCATGTAAAAATCATGGTTTTATTGAAACAGCTTACTGAAAATTAATTGATCCATCTTCTCCTTCTGTGTATTGTAGACTGGACAAGTATTCTTTGTACTATTGTGAGTAGAGGTTTACATGAAATTCTCCAAGTCTCTTTCATTACATAGTTATTTTGATGTCTGCAATTAGGGATGATAATTTGATCCGAAAATCTAAGCTCCACGGTGCCTTGTTCCGCCCCAATTATATTGGCGCTGGGACGGTGGTTGTATACCTTTTTCTTTTTCTTTAAATATCTATTTAATAAAATAAAATAAAAATTATTATTATTATTATTAAATTGTTATTTTCAAATATTTTTTGTTATTAATTTTTTTTTTGGGGGGTCTTTATAAAAATGACGTGAAATCTGAAACTTTGGTGGCAACGTGTGCAGATAGAGTAGTGGAGAGCATGATCGTCTCCCACAAAATATTTTCAACTGCAAATTGGGTGAGTATGGCTTTCTTGAAGGGTTAAAAAAGTGCTTATTTGATAGTATTTTAAGTATATCATGAGATGTATAGAGAATAAATGAATAGGAAATTGTGGATCATATGAATGTGTAAATAAAAAGTAGATGGATTGACTTAAAAATTATAATTTAAACTTTGTATAAATACTCATACAATGTGAGGTTTAATTTCTCTTCCCCATAGAACATATCAAGTGTTCAAGCGCTAGAGTTTTTCTCTTGGAACTTATACCATTTAACCAAAGTAAGAAATCGAATATTATGTTAAATATTTTGGTATTATAAATCTCAATATTTTAAGAGCAAGTACTATGTCATGAGTAGCTGCGCTTCGAGGTGTCAAGACGGACGGGCCGATCAGACCCGTGAAAATCGGTGCGGATCGATCCTGGACCTCGGGCCGACCCGTGACCCGAGCGGACGGTTCATGGGTCGGGCCGCTGTTAACCCGCTGACCCGTGAAAAAAAAATTAAAAAATTTGATAAAAAGAGGGGGAGAGAGCCGTTGTACTTATACTATAAATATTTGATAATAATAATTAGAAATGCATTTAGTTGTTATTTGTTTAAGTTAAATTTAACTTTACAAAGTTATAAATAATTCATGTAACATTAAATTTGAATTCTATGTAAACATTTCTTGGTATAAATATGAATTTATCATTTTTTTCAATT